TGAGAGGTTGGTGTATTTTCCTAACCTAGTTGAGCAGATTTTGTATCTATGATGTAAATTAAAAGACACGTAGAAATAATTTACGTCTATACACATTAATAAAGCAGTAATTTGTCTTATGACTTCATTTCAGGAGGACGATCTGGGTTTTAATAATGGTTTGGCAGCACAGTATGTAACTGAAGAGCAAATGATTTTCTGTAACCATATGCCATTGACTGCAGGAGTTGATCCTTCAATTTTCAGTCGGCTGCACATAGCTAAGGCATTAGTATATGGGTAAATAACAACAATAACAAATATTTTAAGATCTATGTATCAGGCAATAGCCAGTTATTCCATGTTTTTTCCAGTTAGGAAGAACACCTGTTCATGAGTAGTGGTCCATTTTAAACTGTGATTTTAAGAGACATAGGCCACAAAGTACTTTCTCAGTGTTAACAAACTTGCTGCAGCAGATCTCTCCAGTAGGGAGATCCTGTATGTTGCTTTTGTTGTTTTTGTTTTGATTTATATACCACCTCTCTGGGTGATTTACAACATAATTTTGCAAGCAATATTAGCTCCCCCAAGGTCCTAAATGCAAAAGTCTTACAAGAGTCCACAAAGCCATATGTTGTATCATATGCTTTGCTAAAGAAGGAATCAGCCACCAAGTGAATGACTGTTCTAACTCAAGGAATAGAGAAATCCTACAGGACCTTTTGCTAGCAAGGTATTGGAACCTCTCTGAATGGGCAGTGAAAGATACATAGCCACTTCAATATAGGCATATAGAGTGGATCATTGATGTAATTGATCACTTCCTGCACTGTAGATCATTCCAAAGGGTCTAAAGATCCTTCAGGGACGTACTTCCTGTATCCCTTCTTCCTTGGAGACTCATTCCTTCCAGTCAAGCCCCTCTTATGGTTTCTGAACTACTGGAGCTGCTGGATGGCAATCTTGCCAGTTCCATCTCTGATTTGTGCCTTGGTGCAGGTCAGGGCTCCTGTACATCCATCACTGAATTCACTTCTGATGTTGCTGAAGGTACTTAGGCCTGGAAGCCAATTTGTTCAATCCAGCATGCAAGATCATCATAGGTCTTGGAGAGTCTCTGCAGCCCTGCTGTCACAGAGCTCAGTTTTTCCTAGCCATCTTCCCCATACTGCCAAAGCTTGTGAAGGGCATGCTAATCTGTAATGTTGTAAAAGTGGATGCATATGACTAAGGGACCTAGGATTTCTAGGTTATTGAGCTGATCGAAGTCAAGAGCAACATATGACAAGCTGTGATTGTGCTACATTTAAATGTACTTTAGAGTTAGTTAGCATCATCATCAATAAATGCTGTGTTTTGTTTATATTTTCAATGTAGGCCAGGAGGATCAGGTATAATCTACAGTGTATTCAGGAAGACGGTTTCTCTAGACTTTATATCATGTGTCCATGTAAATGTTCTGGATCGTTTTCCAGTTGAATCAAAAACTGACTCCCCTTGTATATCAAATACTTTAACTATTTCAGCTCCTGACCTTGGCCTTAGGGACTATAAGCTTAAACTTTCTACTACAGGTATGTTGATCACATTACAGGGATGGATCAGAATTGTTTAGATTTGCTTTTCGTTAAACATTTTCTAAAAGTCTTCTTTTTCTTTTAATTGAACCAAAGGAACTTTAGAATACAAAACATAAAATATGGGAAGAAGTGAATGTGGGATAGATTCAGGCACAGGGCTTTGAGTGTTTAACCACTGAAAGCTTGGCTTTGAATCTCTGTGTATTGAGACAGGCTTCCAGAGCTATATTAGGGCTACCTTCTTCTTTTTTTCAGGCAAGCTCTTCATCTTTAGTAGCCATAAAGCATGAAGGTTCAATATACAGTGGTGCCTCGCTTAGCGATCACTCCGTTTAGCGACAAATCGCTTTGCGACGAAGATTTTGCGATCACTTTTGCGATCGCTTTGCGATGTTCCCTATGGGGTATTTTCGCTTTGCAATGACCGATCATCGCAAAGCGACCATTTTCACACAGCTGATCGGTGGTTTCAAAATGGCCACTGGGGAAAAAACATGGCCACCCGCTGTTTTCTGGGACAGATCCTCGCTTAAGAGGCACCAGAAATGGCCACGCTATGGAGGATCTTCGCCAAACGGTGAGTTTTAAGCCCATAGGAATGCATCAATCGCTTTTTAATGTGTTTCTGTGGGCTTTTTTATTTCGCATTGCGACGTTTTCGTGCAACAGCAATTTTTGCGGAATGAATTAACGTCGCAATGCGAGGCACCACTGTAATCTGGTTCAGTTCTGTGAATAATTGTACCTTTTGACTTTGGCCAGTGAATATGGATGAGAATTTCATTCACTTTGCTTTTTATAAGAATGTACTATATTTCTATAATTTACCATAATTTCTTTATATATTCTAAGTCATCAGTAAAAATGCTTTAGAGACTAATGGGCTCTGGGATACCCACTCCAATTTTTCCTCCAGGTTGATGAGAAAGACCTCTTAGAACATAGTGTTCTATCAGCTGAGACTCTAGTGCCAATATCACCTAGACCAGTGGTTCTTAACCTTTGTTACTCAGATGTTTTTGAATTGCAACTCCCAGAAACCCCAGCCAGCACAGTTGGTGGTGAAGGCTTCTGGGAGTTGTAGTCCAAAACTCCTGAGTAACCCAAGGTTAAGAACCAGTGACCTAGACCAAATAGTAACATAATGTTTTCATCACTTTGTATGTTTGTTTATAAAATGAGATGAGTGGAATTGTATCTAGGCATAGACTTCTTTCCTTCACTAGAATCACTTTGTCTCATTCCCAAAATTACTAAGAGGGGAAAAATATGCCTGCAGCCAATAGGTGTTTCAATACTCACCTCTTTCCAGTGCTGGTGCAAATATTACATATGGGTCATTTCAGGAATAAGAAAGTGGTGGCTGTGTTCCTTCTGCTCCTGTCACATGCACTGAGGAATAAAGTAGGTGGGAAAAGGGAACAATAACTCTTGCTACTAAGGGCTCAAAGAAAACAATTTGCAGTCTATGAAAGTCTGTGATATATTGTGGGTGCCTTTAATTTCAGCCTAAGGTTGAAACTCTTTCTCCTTGTTCTGGAGTCTTGGGAAAAACATGAGTTTTACTGAGCCAAGGTAGGCCAATTGGGGGTCGGGACTATTTGTCCTAAGGATTACATATGTTTTGCAGTTCTGTTATATGGTAATAAAGAAAGCAATAAATCTGCAGTTATTCCATTTGTGTCTCAGATGTGACATGTGATCCTTCATTGTTGTTTTCAACAAATGAAATCATTTGGTGTTTTTTTTTCAGGTTTTGGTGTATTTAAAGCATCTGATGTTGAGAAAACAGTGGTAATTCCAGGTTCTAGCAGTTTATTCATTACTAAGATTGTGGATGACCACACTGCTTTAGGACATCCTATTATGCCTAATCAAATAACTTTATACAAACCCATTCAAAGTGGGCAGTGGTTTTTATTTGACTTTGGCACTACAAGCGGAAGAAAATGGAAAATTGTTGTTGACATGTGTCGATACACAATACAGCAGTTTGATGACCTACCACTCCATGCTATTAATTACTTAGATCTTGGGTCAGAACTGAATTTTACATTCAGAGTAACTCCAGTTAATGTAGGTAAGCCTTGCAAAAACTTGCATATGTATTTACATATCTTTCCACTGTCTGTACTCTTTATGAAATGGATATAAAATATATTTCAAAACATGTAAAGAGAATCTCTTTGGTTCACTGATGTGTGCATTTTCTAGCAATTTAATGAAAGTTCGCCTTCTAATTATTTGTATAATTGAAAGTCAGTCTACCAAATTGTACTTTTCATATACACATATGTATGCATATGTGACTAACTTTAAATATATTAGGCATGCAACAATTCTTGTGCAGATGTTCAGTCCATACAGCTCCAGCATGATAGATCAAACATCAGGGTCCCTATGACTCAGTCACTTACATCTTTTTTAAAAGGTTGGTGGCACTCACACTAGCATTAGGAATCAAAATGCAGGCAAGCATGTTACCCAGAAGGCCTTTGGGCTTTCATAAAGAAGGATTCTGGAGCAATCTAGGGAAATTATTATGGCAACGTTACTGCAGTTGTTTAACCTACTATTTTTCAGTACCCAGGTTATGCTACTGTATGTGACTCCCTGTCACGTGGCATGATAAATTTACTCTGGAGAAGGCTCTTTTTTTGAAGAAGAAGAAGCCATGTCAGTTTATGCAAGCCTAAAAGAGAAAAACAAAGGGGGGGGACACAGAAAACCCTCCACAAAAAAGTGGTGGAACCTTAAAGACTGTTACATTTCAACATGAGCTTCATTTTGCTTGCTGCCATTTCCGATGTCAGAATTGCATCCATCACTTGCATAGAGATTGTTATGTTTATCCTATGTAGAGCAGAAAGGCTTTGCTGGGAAATGTAGACTCATTTCCTGTGCTTACCCTGTATACAATGGTACTCCCATTCCTTGCTAATGAGCCATGGTCACTTTATTATCTATATCTTCACCTGGTCATGTATAAAAATATAAGTAACATATTCTCCCCTTAGTGTCTGCAGAAGCGGACCTGATCCATAAAAGCTTACAATGAAATATAACAGTTTTTAAGGTGCTATAATGTTTTTGTTGCATATTCTTACAGGAGGAGTGACAATTATATATTAGAGGCAAGCAGTGCTTAATCTTACCCTGAGAAGTAGGGATGAGTTAGAAATTTGTTTAGATCACTATTTAGCAGAATATGCAGATACAGAATGATTCCCTACAGGTGAAGGTGTCAGACAAGATGCATTTTATCCCTTATCTGTTCAGTCTGCATGCAGAACATAGCATATGGAAAGCCAGGCTAGATTCAGGTGAAGGAGAAATGAAAATTGGTAGAAGAAACATCTGTAATTTAAAATATGTAGATGTTGCCATCTTACTAGCAGAAAGCAGTATTGATGTGAAATTACTTTTATTGGAAATGAGGAAGAAAGTGCCAAAGCATGAGTGCAGCTGAAGATCCAGAACCTGAGGGGTTAACTGTAGCTGAGGAGAATGCTGAGTGATTAGAAACGCAAACAGCTGTATCACCCCCAGATTCTCCTCCCCCAGTAGACAGGGTGAGGAGCCAGGCTTCGGGGAAGACTTATGATGAAAAGGTCAGAGGATCGCTTGAAGGCTGCTCGCAGAAACATCCAATCAACTAGCCCTGAGTTCTGACAGGATGAAAAGGCTTCCAGCAGTTCAAGGACTATTTTTACTATATAAGCAGTACCCATACAGCTGGAAGTCTGTGGAAGCAACAAGTCAAACCTCTGGCTCACATCTGTGCTCCTGACTACCTTGAACCCTGTTCTTTGGAACCTTGGCTTTGGACTCTGACCCTGGACTATGTTGTGTGTTTTGGCTTTGGACTCTGACCCTGGACTACATTGTGCGTTTTGGCTTTGGACTCTGACACTTGACTACGTTGTGTGAGTTGGCTTTGGTATTTGGATATTGGCTCTGCATTCTCTGAATTTCTGACATAGGACTGGCTTATCGGACTCTGCTGTTGTAACCCCCGGGAACGTGACAATTGCAATTGAACATTATGAAGACTAAATCATGACTACCGCATAACTTTAACAAGAAATCAGAAGACTTAAACTCAGAAGGGCAACAATGAAAGAACTAGAAAAGATCATCAAGTGCAAGGATGTGTTACTGGAGACTGGCCAAGATAATCAAGACTATTGTATTCCTGATTACTATGTATGAGTATGAAAGCTGGACAGTAAAAACAGATGATATGAAAAAAATGATTCATTTTTGCTGGAGGAGAACTTTGTAAATATCCTGGACCTTCAGAAAAATGAACAAGTGGGTCCTAAAGCAAATGAAAACCGATCCTGTTGAAACTCAGACTATCCCACTTTAGTCACAACATGAGAAGGCAGGATTCTCTGGAATGCTGGGAAAGGTGGAAGGCAGCAGGAAAAGAGGAAGACCAAGTATACAAGATTGATTAACTCCCTAAAGGAACACACAGGCTTGAGTGTGCAAGAGCTGAATAGGGCTGTTGAGGACAGAGGCAATTTTGCAGAACAATAACATTCAGAAGAGAGATGCTATGTAAAGTGGTTTAAACAGTTATCAAAAACTTTCAGAAGTGAGGGTTTTCCATGCATTAAAACGAGCTTCTGCGGTGGTTAAGATGGGCAACATTTAGCAGCCAGGTCTAGATGAGCACTGATTAAGCCTTGTTTTCCTAAGGTGGAACAGGCATGGGAGGCATTTTTCAGAAAGCCTTTTAATCCTGGACTTGGCCTTAAATCCATATTTGTAGTAAGGGATTAGTATATATATGTTATAATCTATATGACTTTTTAATATATTCACCAGGCTATAAGGCTGGCTTTACACTATTAGTTCTTCACACAGTACTACAGAATTTGGGGTATCATCCTCCAAATAGAAAATGGAATAATGTTTTTTATTACGTATATATTTTCACTGTTATTGGTTTTCCTATGGCAGAATTGTCAGAGCAGTCCATGACAAGAAGTTAATACAGTGGTGCCTCGCTTAACGGCGATAATCCATTCCAGGAAAATCGCCATAAAGCGAAAATAAAAACCCCATTGAAACGCATTGAAACCCGCTCAATGCGTTCCAGTGGGGTAAAAACTCACTGTCCAGCAAAGATCCTCCATACTGCAGCCATTTTCGCTGCCTGTATAGCGAGGAATTGCAAGAAAGTTGGTTCTTCCCTTCAGGCAGCCCCTTATTCTCGGCGGAAAATAAGCCAGACTGAGTTTGTATAACGTTAACATTGGAACTTTTATTCAACTCCGCATCCTCCTGCACATCTTTAAATGGGTTTAACGGTTTCAAACTTGGCAACAATCCACTTTCAACAATATTTAAACTTTGATCAAACTCCCAGGGAGTTACAGGCGGCGGATCCCACATGATCCCCGCGGCTCCCTCTGAGGAGGTGGGAGACTCCTCATGGCACAAATGGTCCCACAACACTTGTTGTATTAACTAGAGCAGCAGTCAAAGTTTAAACTCCATAAAACTACAGTGGGGTCTTGACTTGAGAACTTAATCCGTATTGGCAGGCGGTTCTCAAGTCAAAAAGTTCTCAGGTCAAATCTGCATTTCCCATAGGAATGCATTGAAAACCATTTGATCCGTATCTGCTCTTTTCCGTCCATAGAAGCTAATGGGAAGCTGCTATTCCGCCTTCGACCACTAGAGGGGGATATTTTGTTTCTTAGGTCAAGAAAGGTTCAGGGAAGGCAGGGAAAATACAGTCCAGGCAGTACCAGGCAGTCCGAAGACTGTCTCCCAATCCACTCTCTAAACGCTGGGAGGAGTGAGAAAGCAGACAGGCACCCTTTTCACTGGCCAACAGTTAACTGAAAGTTCACATTTTGCACTTTCCCTGCCTCCCACGTGGTTTTTTTTCAGTTCTTAACTCAAATCTAAGTATGTAAGTCAAGTCAATATTTTCCTATGAGAGCGGTTCTTAAGTCAAAATGTTCTTAACTCAAGCCGTTCTTAAGTCAAGACCCCACTGTAAAGGAATCAAAACTGTCTTAAAGACAGATTAAATGGTCAGAGAAAAATAAAATCTTCAAGTGATTCCAATATGGCACCAAACTAAGTAAGCTTATTTTAAGTGGGCGCTTCACAGCTACTACCTGTGAGTAATCCCTTGCTCATTATGCCCCACAGTTCAGATTTTTATTTAGTTTCATTTATTTCTTTGACTTACATGTTCCAGCTTTCTTGTAGCAATAACACTTATATGCTTTCAAACCAATTCAAACTTATAGTGACCCTTCCCAGGGTTTTCTAGATATAGAGTACCTAGAAGTGGTTTCTTCAGGGCCTCTGTGAATTCACAGGAATGGGTTGTTCTGTGCCTGCACTGAATGTCTCGGAAGATTCTACAGCTTAAAAGTACAACGTTGGTGGGACGTTCCCCTGTGGAGCACATCAAATATCTTGCCCAAGCCCAATAAGCAGACTCTTCTCTCTAAGCTACCACGTGGAATCAAACTTCTAATCTCTGGCCTTACAGCCAGATGCTCTTACTTAAAGTTCAGCCAGCCCTTCTGTTGCTGCTAGGACTCCAGTTGGACTTCAATAACATTAAAATCGTTAGTGATTAAAAAAGTGCCCTAAATATAGAATAAAACCAAACAAATTATAGTATTAAAACACTGTTCAGTTTGGTTGTTGCATTTATATACCAGTCATTTATGTACTGACAAGCCACTACTCTGGACAGTTTATAACAGTTAAAATACACCACACAGCCATTATAAGCAAAAGACAGACAAATAATAATGACAGAAGAACCCCCAGAGGTGACATCAACAAACAAAAATGTGGACGTAATGGGTCTGTCATAGAAGGAGGATGTTTTGAAGGCCTCCCTGAAGAGCTCAGTTTAACATATTTCCTGAAGGACAGGAGATAGGGCATTGGCAATCAAACATAGGCAATACATTCCAAAGTGTTGTAGACACTTAAGTGGATTTTTAGAAGTACAGCGTCAATCTGTTAAAAGCCTCTTTTTCAACAGCCAATTGATTTCCTAAAACCTTCCTAAATGGAGAGGTTTTGGTTTTTGTGGGTTTTTCAAGCTCTTTGGCTGTGTTCTGAAGTTTGTTCTTCCTAACGTTTTGCCAGTCTCTGTGGCTGGCATCTTCAGAGGATAGGAGCTAGAACTCTGTCCGTGTTCTGGTGCAGTGTGTGGGATAGTTGAGTTTGCAGGGAGGCACAGTATGATAAAAGCTTCCAGAAGTGGGATATTTAAATTCCGGGTGGCTTTTCCCCCCAGTGGGTAACACTAGAAAAGGTATAAACACTGTGAACATTTTGGAACTGTACTTTTGTCATCCTTGCTTTAGGGAGAGGAAATAATGGAAATAAGCATTTTTTCATTGTTGTTTTATTCCGCAGCCTACCAAGCATTTCATATTCAGCTAATGAGAGTAGTAAGTGGAAGGCCATCTCTGCTGGATGTGACCACAGAAGACTTTTGGGATGACAGTGATAGTTATGTAGTCTATATCAATGTTCAGAGTAAATTTTTTGAAAAGGTAAGATGCAACCACCTTTCTTCAGAATACTGATAAAATATTAGCTTTTTTAAAAGGTGTATGTATGCTTCAGAATCTTATACCATTGCTGCTCTCCAGAATAATACAATTGTGTGCTATCAATTCAACTCTGACTTAAGGTGACCCTTTTCAGAGTTTTTCTCCAGAATAATACAATTGTATGCTATCAATTCAACTCTGACTTACTGTAAGGTGACCCTTTTCAGAGTTTTCTCAGTAGAAAGGATTTAGAAATGGTTTCATATTCCCTTCTTCTTGGAGTGCCCTGGAACTGCAGTTTGTCCAAGGCCCTACAAGCTGACTCTGCTCATAGGAGGTATAATGGGAAATCAAACTCCAAACCTCTGGCTCCACAGCCAGATACCTAACTCCCTAAGCTCAATCTCTCATAGTGGTTTTCTACCAGTTTACACTATTATTTTCCCTTTAAAAGTCTGTACATTTTAGGTTGGTAAAATTAGTGAGTAATCTGTAGTCCTCTTTAAATTGCAGTGCTCAGGATACCCTGAAATAAGTATTAAATCCATTTAAGTCTGTAGTATAAGAGAATTCCTGTGTGAATTAATATATGAAACATGAACAGCTTAAATATGTGTAAATATAACACAAAACTGTTGCATTGAATCAAGCCATACCTTGCAGCCCAGGAAGCTATTACATGAACTGCATGGTGCTTCATAGTCTGGGAACCTGAAAGCCATTGCATTGAGCTTTACTTCTGAGCAGATGTGCATAGAACGAAGTTCTGACTGAGTTCTGTACCCTTTACCCCAAGCCCAAGCATACATAGAATGCAGTGTCCCAATATCTTCCAGAAATTAGAATTCAGCCCCAGGTCCTCAAAACATTTTCAGCCTGCCTTTTAGAGGATGTTACAATGGGAAGCTTTGGGGATGTTTCTTCCCAAAGTTATATTTCACTTTCATCTGACTCCAGACAAATTTCTATATCCCTTCTTCTGGTAGCCTCCTTCCCTTTTGGAGGCTTTTGTTCATGCCCTTGACGCCTGCAGAGCACTTCTGTTACATGGTCGCATGACAGCTGCCTTTCAGGTGTTGCAGAAAGTTTTGTTTCCCACCAACTTTCTAAAAACCACTGTCCGCTGTATGTGCAGCATCTTGCCCACTAGATTGCTTCGATAATTGGCGCTATAGGGACGTGGTGGCGCTATAGGGACGTGGTGGCGCTGTGAGCTAAACCGTAGAAACCTGTGCTGCAGGGTCAGAAGAACAAGCAGTCGTAAGATCGAATCCATGTGACGGAGTGAGCGCCCGTTGCTTGTCCCAGCTCCCGCCAACCTAGCGGTTCGAAAGCATGCACATGCAAATAGATAAATAGGGACCACCTCGGTGGAAAGGTAACAGCGTTCCGTGTCTAAGTTGCACTGGCCATGTGACCACGGAAGATTGTCTTCGGACAAAACGCTGGCTCTATGGCTTGGAAACGGGGATGAGCACCGCCCCCTAGAGTCGAGCACGACTGGACAAAAATTGTCAAGGGGAACCTTTACCTTTACTTTTACCAGAGGGCTAAGCTGTCTCCTGCCAGCAAAGAATCTGTCCATGAGAGTATTGAAATTGACAGTATTTTTCTAGTGTGCTATGTCTTGCCAGATGCATGCAGATTACTGCATGTTCACATGTAGTAATGGGCTAGAAGTTTGCGTTCAGAAACATCCACCCTGTCTTGAAGTACATGCTTAGGATAAAAAGATAAGTTTCTTATTCATACATATGATACACAGAGAGAACGATAAATAAAAACAGATTGCTTGCCTATAATTGTTAACTTTTCATCTGTGTAGTCATACAACCCATTATCTTCCCTCTTTTCCGCACATCATGTGCTAGACTCCCTCTTGTTTCACCTGAGTGGTCTTGGAACTGTGTGAGAATAGCAGAAACCATGCCCTCTGAGCACACATAGTGGAGTGGAGACTAGGGCTTGAGCTAAAAATAGCTCCTCTAGAACACTGCAAACAAATATTTATGCAGCTGAAGAACATATATATGTCATTTCTCAGATGGCCACAATGACAATTATAAGCAAGCATCAGCATTCTTCTGTTGGATTGTCTTCACATGGATATGTTAATCATACATTTAATTAAATGTATTAGACCAGGGTAGCCAGAGGATGGTTTGTGACCTGCATACAACTTGACAAAACGTATTCTTGTGTTACCAGTGAGATCTATTACAATTAACTTTAACTGGATTGGTACTATGGTCTTAGCATGGATATGTTCATCATACATTTAAATAAATACAGTACTGTATATTAGACCAAGGTAGATAAAGTGTGGTATTAAGAAGCTCATTAATTGTTCATGCATATTGGAGACATACTAATGTTATGCTTTTAATAAACATCCCTAGGGTAAAACCTCCATAGCAATTATTATGACATATGCATCCCTTGCTTGTGAAGTTACAACTGTTGTCTTAACAATGAAGAATGCCTGCTCTTATCTTAAATCAATGCACTATGTTCTGCCTGTTAAAATCCCTGAGACAAAATGGCTATCTGAAAGACATGATTCTGAACTCAATGACTCAGCAACTTCCAGAGTTTTGAAGAATCTGCCGGTGAGGATCCTAAGCTATGTATATCAGATTATACATTAATGCTTTCTTTCCTGCTCTTTCCCAAAAGCTTTGTAACACAAGGAATAAAGATCTACCAATGTGCTCTGTGGCCAGGATATGTTATTTCAAGCCCAATTTAGAGAAATCCAGGAGATTCTCCTGACTGTAGATAGTTAGAACCACCAGACCAGTACTCTGTTCAACTTACGCATATGCTAAAGGCAGGCAGAGAAGCAGAGGTGTCTGGTTGCCTACCTTATTGCAACCAGAACTGTAGGTTTGAAAGTTAGTCAGTGCTGAATGTTACAAATGGGGAAAATATTGTTGTTCTTAACATTAAAAAACTGAAAACAAATAACTCACTGAATTAGCAATATTAATTTGTCAGCCTCATTGTTAGTTTTGAAACAAAGAGAGACTTTACAGGCTTTTGTCACCATGTCTCTAACAGTAGATTTGCCATTGGATCCTTCAGAAAGGCTCTCTTTTTTGTTTAAAAATTCCACTGCCCAATCTAGCTCTTTCTTAAAATCACAAATTCTACAATGCAAGTGTTAAGCCAAGCATGATGACAGCTAATAAAATATAGCATTTCTAAAAATTGTGATAATGGGAAAGTCTGTTGTCTATATCAAAAGCTATTCTGTGAAGAAAGCTTTGCATAGATACAAACCACAAAAATTGAGGTTTGTAGTGGCTCATGAACCACGAACCATCCTAACATTTTTTTAAAAAATGAACTACAAACAAGTTCAGGTTTTTTTTAAGTTTTTAAGTTTGTGCCTGGGGGAGGGGAAATGAAACCTACCACCACCACAGCCTGCCTGCCACTGCTTCCTTCCCATTACCCCTGCTGCCTCCCTCCATGTTCCTGAAGCCACTTCCTCTTCCTCCTCCCTTGATAGGTAGGTCCATGTGCACAGACAGCAGGCCTGGCTCCTGGAAGGGAAGCCAGGCTGCTGTCTCTCAAGATGGTAACAGTGGAGAATGAAAAGGAGGAGGAAACAATAGATTCGTGGGAAAGGAGAAGTCCATTAGGTCCTAAAAATCCCCCCTCCCACTGATACCCAGTGTTAGAAAGAATACAAAATTATTGTTATCTCAATACACACACACACCTAATGTCTGTGTGAGAAAATCACTCTAGAGTGGTTCTTAATTGAAGGTATGTGAGCATTTCCTTTTTATGGGGGGAAAAGTGCAAACACAGATAGTCATGTGAAAAAGAAAGTACATCCTGTGGTTGTTGTGGGTTTTTCGGGCTCTTAGGCCATGTTCTAAAGGTTGTTCTTCCTAACGTTGCACCAGTCTCTGTGGCCGGCATCTTCAGAGGACAGCACTCTGTGCTCTGGTGTAGTTGGCTTGGGAGTGGAGTACTTATGGCTGTGAGGTGGGCTTTTGTCTTTTTCTGTAGATGGTTGATTAATGTGTCTTGTTGTGGGTGTATTGTTGTGATAAGAAGGAGAGATTATCTGTCACTGTGGTTGATGGGTGTCATTAGCTGGTCTTTTGTGTGTAGTGATCCCCAGTCCTTGTGGCTGGCTAGAGTTCGTTGACCATTTGCACGCTGTATTTTTGAGAGCTGGGAGCCAAGTTTTGTTGAGTTCCAAACTTTCCTCTTTTTTGTTGAAGTTCTGCGGGTGCTTGTGGATTTCAATAGCTTTCCTGTGCAGTCTGACATAATAATTGCTGGTGTTGTCCAGTATTTCAGTACTGTAATTTAAAATAGAAATTAATCTCCAGTTCCTTTTAGGGCATGTTCAGCTACTGCAGA